ACAAAAACAGTCAAACCAGGCGCTGATACTACTGTGGAACCAGTCAGTACAATGACAGCAGAGGAGGGAAGCACTGGTGCATCTCCAACACAATCCCCCGATGTGAGTGTGACACCTGAAGTTATCACTAAGGCAAAAACAGAGGACCCAGGACCTGATACTACATTGGAACCAGCCAGTACAATGACAGCAGAGAAGAGAAGCACTGGTCCACAATTCCCTGGTTTGACTACGACATACAGTTTAACTACTGGAATTACTTCACCTGAAAACATCACTAAGGCAAAAACAGTGGAACCAGGCACTGAAACTACTTTGGAACAAGCCAGTACAATGACAGCACAGGAAAAAAGAACGATCATACCCCTAACTCAATCTGGTGATACTATAACATACAGTTCAACTACTGGAAACACTTCACCTGAAGCCACCACTAAAGCAAAAACAGTGGAATCAGGCACTGATACTACACTGGAACCAGCCAGTACAATGAAAACAGAGGAGAAAAGCATTGGTACACCTCCAACACAATTCCCTGGTGTGACTATGACACACAGTTCAACTACTGAAATTATTTCGCCTCTAGCTACGACTAAGGCAACAACAGGGGAACAAGTCACAGCCAGCACATTGACATTAGTGGTAAGAAGCAGTGGTTCACCTCTAACACAATCTTCCGGTATGTCTGTGATATCCAGTTCAACAACTGGAATTGCTTCACCTGAAGTTACCTCTGACGCAGAAACAGTCGAACCAGTCAGTGAGACTTCATTGGAACCAGTCAGTACAATGAAGTCCTTGGGAAAAAGCACTAATATACCACCAACACAATCTCCCGGTAAGACTATGACTTATAATTCAACTTCAGATATTAATTCACCTTTAGCTATTATTTGTTTGTATGCATTTAGCAATAAGATTAGTTGCGCATTGTTTGTACGTTGTGTAGAATTATGTCAGATGATACTGATATGATATTGATTCAATAGCTTGTCATGGCATGGTTCACCTTGCTTTATATTTTCATTGTGTGGCTTTATATTTTCAATATGTGTTTTACTAGTTGATTGGCAGTGAACTGATGGTTTATATTAATTTATATGCACTGTGGTTTGTATTACTTTATATGCACTAAATATTAACTTGTAATGTGAATGCTAATTACTTAATTTGTTAAATTGTAGTTGTTTGATTCAGTCAATATTTCCATTGATGATAACGCCATTGACTATTGTAGCTTATATTACATCATGAACACAACATTTGCATTGTCTAAGTAAGTAGACTACAATTCCATAACATATCAAATAATGGCATAGTTTAAGTATTCAGCAAATTCACTAACAAATAATCAAACGCATGCCATTTGTTGTCATATATTCCATTCAATTTCATTAATCGAAATATAGTAGAACAGCTCAACTTCTAAATTTGAAAATCGGAATTGATTGAAACAATTCTTAACTATGTGACACTGTAAATTATGTGCTTTATTTTGTTTCGTGCATCTAAATATCAGTTCATCCACAAACTGACTGCTGAAACAAAATCAGTGGAACAATGTTGGAATGATATAAGAAAAGTAAAGCATGTCACATGTGACTACATTAGAACTTGTTGTTAAAATGACAGCACTGGGGAGAAGCACCATTTTACCACCAGCACAATCTTCTAGTGTGACTGTAACATACAATTCAACTACCGAACCTGCCAGCACAAGACAGAAGTGCAGAAGAGTATTTATGACATACTGTTCAATTACTTTACCTAAAGATACAACTAAAATTAAGACAGAGTAATCTTTCACACATAAACCTGTCAATACAAGCAGCAGTAGAAAGAGGAATTATTATATCGTTTGAAGCAGTCAGAAAACGTACAACATTTCAAGCTGCACTGTCACAGGTCTATCTCAATACAACAGATCACAGAAAAGACATTTGCTGAAACCAGCACTGCTTTAATATTCCTGTGAAGATACGTTGACGGTATCTTACTCAGTCAGGAAAGTGCATCAGATACATCTGTTATGTCGATTACTTCTACCTGCCACTGGGAACCCTGAAACTTTCACATCTCTAACACCACCTACACAAGCTTTTGTGACGAAGACGTAAGCGTCAACCACCAATGTTAAATCTCCTGAAACTAAGTACAACTGGTTAGTACTGAAACCACCGTAACCTACACAGCACCAATGACAACAAATGCCGTTCATTATATTGATACTAATATTAGACTTAGTCATTTATAGGACTATGCATAGCTCATTTCCGTGTTTGATATTACAGAGATAGACTAGCAGCCGCAACATATGTACAGAATATGGCTTTAATAGCGTGGTGCGTTGCCGATTCCTACTCGCATTTTCCAACAGACACATTAGTTGCAACAGTAATTTCCACAGATGGCTTTGTAGCCCGACGTCATGGCTTATGATTGCTCTCGAAAGATACTCCAATAGCAGCTAAATTTTATTGATGATGGCCTATAGAGTGACGCGTACCTATTTTCTACCTGCGTTTCCAAAACAAACATTGTATGTGTACATAAGATGGCTTTCATACATTACGCATAGCTTAAATCTACCAAAGTTTTGAGACATATCAGTAGCCGCAGTGTAATACTACGGCGCTGTCAACAGTGCACAGTCACAAACTATTGTGACTATGTTAGTATTAATTTGTCTATTAGAGGTTTATACACTAGTAGCAGGCAATAAAAGTTAAGAACAAACCACCGCCACTAATATATAACTGCCAATCAACTTGTGAAAACTCATGTTAATATACATGTCATTTGCAGTGCAACTGTTATTTATCTCAGATTAATGCCATGCCATTTTGACCATGATTATGCTAATTGGATGGTGATTATAAGTAATGTGGTGATAATAATGACAATGTCTGTTTCATAATATCAATATTGATTATCATTTATTCTAACACATGTTACATATATGAACTACCTTCAAAATGACCTACAGGAACAACTACGACTAACACAGTGGTGCCAACAACACACGTAGTTAACACCGTACCGACAGGTTAGTACTGAAACACACATGAGCATTGTAGCAAAGATAACATTACCCTTGCATTTTATTTCCTGATAATAATATAATATCGTCATCTTTACCATTTTATTCTTTCAGTATTTCAACGCACCGACTATGACAGTATCTGTACAGCTTTGTAGCACGCATAGCTTATTTCCTACTCCGTTTTGTGAACGATACACCAGTAACCGCAATATTTCTACATAAGATAGCCTTTATTGCGGTGCATGGCGCTTTCCGTCACCGTTTCAGGCAGCACACACCAGTAGCTACAGTGCCACACCATTTTACCCCGTTGTCAGAACGGCGTTTAGCTTTTTTCTTGTGTAATCACATAATATGTAGGTTTGGCTGACTGTTAATTATTTTCTTAGAGGCTTATTTGCAAATAATATAATATTGTTGTCTTTATTTTTTATTCTTTCAGTGTTTTAACGCACCAGCTGCCAAAGTATTTCCACAGACGGCTTTGTAGTACAGCTTATAGCTCATTTCAGCCTGCCATTTTAGAAGGACACATCAGTAGCCGCAATATTTCTACGAACGATAGCATTCATATTGGTGCAATGCGTTTTTCAGTAACCGCATTGCCGCAGTATTTTACCGCGTTGTCACCACGGCGCTAAGCTTTTACATTGCGTGTAACTATTCTCTTAGAGGCTTACTTGATAACATCATACATTTTGATGATTTAGTATGAAGAATAAAACACTGCCATTACTTAAAACTGCCAATCAACTCGTGTGTGTCATGAATATTTAATGACAATAGCTACAATGTTATCTTATCTGTATCATGTCATTGTTGAAGCTAACGATCGAAAAAATGCCTATTTGTATATATTGTTATAACATCGTTCTACAGAATATAACTGTCCTGATCCGGAGCTGCAACCACCAGGTCGATTTGATCCAATGGTCACATTTCCTGCTGATCCTGGTACAATACTCTACATTCAATGTCAAGAGCCACTAACACTGTTCGGAAGCAGTAACCTAACGTGTAATGGAATGACTGGCACTTGGAGTGACGAAACACCAATTTGCTCCAGTGAGTTTTAAGTCATCATGTGCATTGTAAATCACAGTGAAATGACATTTACATCACAGCGTTAGTCATAGCGCTGGTCAGGAGAAAAGGTTCAATAAACGATTTCCGAAGTACATTTGCAAACCACACCTTCATCCATAATGTCCACCCTGTTTAAATTGTTTTTCCCCAAACATAGTACATAGCAAATACGTTGTTTTCCACGTTACGCGTGTGTCATATATTTGCTATATATTCTATATAATTGGTTACTGTATCTGTAAAACCATCTGTCACTCTGAAATATATAACTCTTTAGTTCTTTTAATTCATTCTCGGAAACTAATTTTGTTTGTTTTGCTAAAGGTACGAGTACGGTGGACGTAACAACAGAACTAGTTATAACAGATATTGGTAATAAAACTCAAGAGGAACTAGAAGAAACCATTCTAGAATGGGTATGTTGTTGTTGTTTTTTTGTTTTTTTTTGACGTAAATAATTTCTTGTTGGTTTTCATCATGTGTAGTGTTCACCAGTACTTGTAACACGGTATTTTAGACATGTTCATGTCTTATTTCGTTTAATAGCTCTTTGAATTTGAAACAAGTGAAGTAGAAGTTAAGCCACAGTTGATACATTTAGAAATGGACAATGATACAGCTATTGTAGTAATTGTTCTTAGTCTGAATGAGACTGATTCTTTAGAAATTATCGATGAACTATTGGTAAATGTATCAAAGGAAATTGAAGGCATTGTTATAACACCGGGAGAATTAGAAATTGGTAAGTTAAAACAATTAGTAGTAGCAGAGTCGTATTTGAAGTAATTTACTGCCAAACTATATTCAATAATAAAACGATTAAATGCATGTTCTTACAATGACACGGCGAATTCCATTGTGTTCACAGTTACATCGTGTCACGTTACGATGTGTGATAATGGAGGAATCTGTACAAATGAATCGAGAACATCCTGCAGGTATGGCTACAACGAATGTTTGTGTATTTCACATCGTTGTCAGGGGATGACAGTCTCACTTAAACATGTTCATCACAGGACATAAATTGAATTAAACAAATACAGTAGCTTTTGATATCATTGTGTATGAACTCCGGAAGACATTTAACACGTCTGAACATGTCTGTCGTGAAGTGCTACTCTTGATGAATATAACAGATTGTTCCAACTAATAGTAAAAATTAACAGACTGGTACTGAAAACCAAATCTTAATAAATTGACCTTTAAATTTCAACCTAAAATAATAATTCAACGAATAGAACAACAAACTTGTTTGCATAGAGATACTATATTATTGTAATATCTTCGTTTTTATATCTTGACTCGAATAAATCGTTGAGACTGATTAGTATGTTGACAGTCATATAGCGCCGGGAATCGCTTTTTAAGGGAACCAATCAGCACATCCATTATAAACGATCGCAATGAATTTGGACGGTAAAACTAACTGCACAATGACTTTCCGCAACCCACAACTAGACCCATACGACCTCCCGTCGGTATTTCCTGAGCAATTACAAAACGTACATGACAATTTGTATTCGACCAATCACTGGTATTAAATTTGTGTCACATTACTACTACATTTCAATTTATAACGCTTGCCAAAAATCCTGCTCAAATCTCAATAGCATAATTGAGTTTCTGGTTCTTATTTCTGATGAGGGATTTGCCTAATTAAGCTCAGTTAAACAGTTAAGCTGAACAATGGGTTCCCTAGAAAACTTGGTAATGGAAAGGGCAAAAGCGCATTATCAAATATCCACCTGAGCAAATCAAAGTGATAATTCAATATAATTTATTTATTTATTTAAAAAAATAACAAAAATCGGCATTTGTTCTATTTTCAAATTAAAGCACTGTATTATAATGTTGAATATTGACATGGCCGGAAGCGCCATTAGGAAATGTTTTATTTGTGAATGAAGACAATAATAAGATAATTAAGATGAACGAAACTTGAAAAAAATGAAATGAGAATTTGTTTTGAATTTTAGATTGGTTATTTGGTTGGCCTAAATACGTCATGCATTATATGTGCTATGAAAATGATCTTTTTCGATGTACAGCTCTAACATAATATTTCTGATTTGGTGATTTCAGCTGCCCGAATGGGTACTTTGGTACATTCTGTGAACTGCAAGAACTGACTACGATACTTCCCGGTAAGTGTGCACAGTATCCGTTTTGTAAATTTAATTACTGCATACTTGTTATAATGACCCAGGTGGGTGAACATGCGGTCGCCACTTAAACACGCACGCGCAGACGTCCTCAATACCGGTTATTTACATGTGACGATATTTTAATTGACTATTTAAATCAATGTCCGCAAATGAAAGCCTACTATATTGTTCTGCCCACTGTTGTAAATAAAATATTATGTTTTGTTACCGTCAATAAGGGTCATTAAATTACAGCTATTCTGTAGATGTTTTCCAAATCGCAATCCTAATTGATGTAAAACAAACAAAAATGAATAAATAAGTTTGGGACTACATGACTGTGGTGTGCGGCCATCACTCGATCAAATGCGCCATCATGACTTCAACCAAGCCCAGTCAAGCAAAAACTCTTGCAGACCGCAACCAAGGTTCTCAAATTCGCATCCGTTAGTGAATGAATCTTTTCCAGTGGACACCACGGGTCAATCTTTTGTCGGTGCTCAACCCCTAGTGGGATTTTAAATTCGGACTACATGTACTTACCCTTAATCCAATACAAAAGCCACTACAATACCAGTAATCTGTCACCGTAACGCCACAGCGTGCCGTAAGTTTGTGGTATTTTACGGGGTATTTTCATCTTACTATGGTAGAAAATGCGAATTGCAATTGTGGAATGATTACGCGCGAAAGTGTCCTCTAATAATAACAACAAACATTGCTGCCTCCACACAAAAAAGTTCGCCGATTCTGTTCTAAACATTTTGGATTTCGGCATTCCCATGGTGTATCCTTGGAAGGAAAAGATGTGTAATAATAGGGTTATTACGTAATAACCTCATAATATGATGTTATAGTATACTAAATCCCATGTGTTATACAGCCTACAGCATTGTTGATAGAGGCAAAGCTTTCGACGGAGGCTTGGGTCAATATTTGTATTAATATTCTGAATAAAACAAACATTTTGTAAATCTTGCAATAATAACATTCCAATAATAACATTCATAATTTTATTCACAAGTAGCTATTTTATCAACTTGCAACAATGTATTTATATTCTAAAGTCCTTTCCAAAACTACTGTCACATTCAAGATGTTTGTAGGTGATGTTTCTAGATTTTTGTAGCCATGATATTAAAATATGACGCGCGCGCACAAAATCAAAAATAGCACACCTCATTGTAGCCCTACATGAAGGCGTAGTAGCGCCCTTGCTG